AATTATTTGATATGATAATGGAAGTTATTTTGAAGGCAATGAGTCATTGAAAATAACGCATTTTGAAATTAGAATGTATCTTTGGCTCATTTGCGTATGCAACGGAAGAGAATGAACGGAATAATTCAAAATTATTCTCAGAAACTATACAATTAATCAAAAAATTTTACTCTACGTCTGATTTTTTAAAAGGAGTCACTTTCTTGTATCTTATACAAGCGATTTCTCCCATTACTTGTATTTTTTATTCCAAATATTTTTTCATTTTTACATGTATATATGATATATATTTTATCGCAAATGCATTTATGTTTTTGCGTGTCAGATTTGACATAAAAAACAATGAGTCGAATCCTGCACGATTCTATATAGTTTTACACAAATGTATATAAGTGTATAATCTAAATTATACATTTATACACATTATATATCATTCTCTGAATAATTTTTATATCCTAATTTTTATACATTTTATATGCTGCGTATTTGTCTATGACATAATTATTTTATTACATGATTCTTCAAGAAGAATCTGATTTTTATGTCTATTGACATGTATGTAATTGACGACAAAATGAAGACACTTTTTTATTAGTGCCCCTTCCACGCATTAATTATTCTCTTTTGATAGAAGAATCTGTTTAAAAAAAATATCACAAGCAGATGTATGCGAAATATTCCATAAAATTTTTATACAAATTGCTAGTTTGTTCCACTAATTATATTAATGAAAAAAAAAATGTTCTTTAAATATAAATTTGCAGTTTAAAACATTCTTTTTAGTTGGCATTAAAAGTAATTTAATCATTAACGGAAACATTATAATATCTGAATAATATCAAACATGTAAATATTGTTTAGATATGGCATCCAATAAACACAAATTAACAGTAACATTACATAAATGTTAATTGGATTGTTTCTCACTCAGCCATATAAATGCAGTGTATACATAGTTACATTGCTGAGTAAGAAGTTATAACATTAATGTAACATTACTCTGTTATATTGTATTGATTAAATAAAATATAAACACTTAAATATGAGATAACAATGAGATATTAAATATAATTTTACAAAATTATATTTTTTTACATTTTTTTTAGAAGAAATATTAACATTTCTAAAACTTTATTCTAGCTTTTGATGTTAACATAACATATAAAATATTATATTAAATATTATATTAAATATAAATATTAAAATAATATAGTTGTTATTTAATATTTGATGTTTATATTTTATTATGGTTTATTTAGATATTATAGTCTTTCTGTTAGTAGCTATAATTTAAAAAGAATGCAGTCGCAGAATCCAATTGCAGAATTATATTTATGACATTTTTTATCATCACGATAAATAAAATATATGAAATTTATCATAGTTAAAATTCTATATATTTAATAATCTATATTTAATATATTCTGATGAATAGCGATATGGATTTATATCTTGCTTTTTGAAGCTTATTAATATGCATGAAAAATTACCAGTGCATTACAGACTGCAAAAATGGCGCTAACATGTTTGTTGATTTGCTGCATCAATCATTAGAGATGCAAATTGCACATTTCCACACTTTTGTGCGGAAAGTTTGATGCATTTTTTTTACTTTATGCTATTTTATTGCATGAATTTTTGATATGTCAAACATATTAAATGACAATTCCTTATTATAACGGTTTTTATTTATCAGATTACATTTATCTGATAAAGAAAAATAAGAAAGAATATTTCAAGGATGTATTGTATTGATACGTATTCATCGATTTTCTCTTACATTTATATATTTTCACATCATTTCTTTAATAAATATAATATTATTATATGTGCAAAAATTATATCACTACTTTGACAATTTATCAAACTGCATCAGCTGTGATGCCACTATATATCTATGACTACATATGCTATGTTGAATTTTACGTCGCGTTACAAAAAAATAATTATACATATTTTATTTGCAGAAAAATATATTCATACACTGCAAAATTTGTGATTGTTGCACATTCTCAATAATATTGTTTGATATTATATCATGATTAATCAATAAATTACATTTGATATAGTTCAAACAATTTGTTTTTGTATTTATCTGTCAGTTTTATGCAATTGTATAATATAAGAAGTAAGAGTTAAAAAAAAGTTACAAAAGTTACAAAATGTATACTACGCATTTGTAGTTACGAAAAATAAAGTATGTAAATTTTCTTTAAATACAAGATAGCATTCCCTCTAGAACGGACTACGGCCTTTGAAACGGACTGGCAAGCTGTTTGCTAGTCTAACAGAAGATTTACAAAATGCAAAACTGGAATCAATGGCAGTTGCCACCTGGAGCTATTACTCCAATGCCACAGCCACCAATTGGCTATGCTACAGGCGCAGATCCTACTGCTTTGATGCAAAATTATATGCAATATTATAATCAACCAGTAAGTATAATTTTAAAGTATACTATATTTATAGAAAATCATATAAAATACGATTCAAATTACTTTAATCACGATCAATAAATGCGATACATATATATAATAAATATTATATAAAATATTTTTATATAAATATATATAATAAAATAAATATTATATACAGT